CATCCCTAATTATAGTATAGCAAAAAGTAACTATTCCTGCTATTTATATTAATAACAACAAAGGCAAAGCCCTGACAGAAGCACGTCTTGCCATTCTGCTGTCATACTGGTAAAACCTCCGGGCACTGGGACCTGACAGCAGCATGAACAGAATCACCAGTTAAATTTGAAAACTGCTTAAAAATTTGATAGCAAATCCTATTTAATGGCACATCTCGCTTTTATAATGTCTCTGGTAACAGGAAGAATAGATGTAGCATTTGAATTAAGTAAGGCTGGTGTATGGTGTAGGAACTTATGCTATTTAGACAAACGTCCTACAAAACTGGCGTCCTTCTAAATCACAGAGAAAGTGGTTGCTGGGTTGTTTACATGCTAAGATAACACAAATGAGCACATGTGTTTGAACCCAGTGTCTTGCCGTCCATGCAGCAGTACCTCGAACCTTAAACACCAAACTGAAGCGTGTGTTTTACCGGCTTGTTCCACCTCAACATCACAGCGACGCAGCAGGTGGGAAAGACTAAAGATGTTCTTTCAGCACTGAAAACTGCCGCTGCTGTTCCAAAAATAATGAGTCTGCTCACTCTTCCCTTCACATGACCCCACTGTCCTATTCAGCCCAAACCTGACAGACTCCTGCTGCTTAAAGAGAGCGATGGATGAGTTCCTACCTCTTTATGGTGGATGCCAGTGTATTGACAGGGTTCCATGCCACACACTCCAACTGAGAGGTCATTTGATATAAATTTTCACCGCTGTGGAGGAAAGACAAAATGTAGAAGAAAAGCTCATGAGCTGTGCAGTGGACTGTCAAGCACCAGGACACGGTTGGGTGTATGTGCGTGTGTATTCACTCGCTTTTGTCGTCCGCTGTAGAAGCACGCTAATGAAAAATGCCAACACACACAAACGCCCACACAGTCACAGGTGGAGCTGAGATTAAAAAATGTTCCTCGGACACCAAGAGAGCCAAATTATCTCATTGCGGCCATCTTTCATTAAACACGGCAGACTCGAGAATCATTATTCAGAGCTGCCATGGGTTTAAATACCTCACGTGCACACACACACACACACACAATGGATTTATAGCTCTCACCCCTAACACCACAGTCCCTCTATTACACCACCTGCAGGCACATAGCAGTGTGGATGGGGTAGATGTGGTGCCTGGTACACAGCTATTATTTTACAGTACAACAGGGGCACGCGGCCAGCTGGGCCAAATGGTATATCTGCTGAAATACTGCTGGGATGGAGGCTCAGCGCAAGATTTAAAGCAGCTATCCATGACATTTTCAAATAAATATGTGTCTGCTTTTCTTCTCTCACTGGATCCATTGCTGACCATCTATTTTATGACCATTATCGGTCCCCTCCCCCTTTTTTTGGTGGTGCCGTAACACCCAGCGTGTGTTACAGCAGGTGTTTCCTGGAAAAACCCTCCACTTCACAGTTAACCTACAAAAGAATTGATCTTTTCTTCAGAATAAACAAACAGAGAAGTGCCATATGCCACAGAGGATCAAAAACAGCACAATTACCAAATATCTATGATTTTGACAATAACTATGTAGGCAGGCTTTTTGGATAGGGATGTACCAATCCAACTTTTTCCAACTTCCGACACAATACAGACACTTTGGCTGATTTGTCTGCCAAAGGCTAAAATAATAAACCGAAGTGACTGGGAATCTGCGTTTTATGTTGAAAAGTAGAAAACAAATACATCCAAGAAGATAAAATGATCTGAAGCGGTAAAATAATAAATGTGATCGCAGTTTGAACAACATAGAACTGAACTGTTGAAACGTTGCCTCCATCTCAGCATGAAGCACTCAACAAAAACGTCCACTCATGCTGTCTTCGCAACAATGGCAGTAATGCATAATCAAGCCTCTTTAACCATCATAACTAATAGTCAAACCTGGACAATAAAAACCTAACAGCAACTTTAAAAGCATCCATTCATCCCACTAATAATCATAATCATATCGGCTTATCAGTGCAACAAAGTCTGCCTAATGAGACATTGTATTGCAAAAAGCTACACAGATACAAATTGCCGTAAACATTTAAGTAACGAGTGCAAAAAGAGCTTGTATTTCAAAGGTGTCAGAAGGAGGGGATTTCCAGACATATCTGAAAATGGTGCAGACAAACTGAATCGTGCTTCAGTGAGATGAAAAAACAAAATCTGCCTGAGCAAACCGAATAACTGAATATGCAAAGAGTGGCCCACTACCACCCACTCCACATGCACTGACTCCATGTGAGAAGTCAAATGACTCCTGAGGACACAAAGGTTTGCGATTCTATGCAAATTGCCAAATTTCCTGTAAGTCCAAGAAGAGCCTGAGCATTTGTTTGCAGCTCAAAGATTACAGCAACTGTTCAGAACATGGTGTGCGATTTCATACACCTCGTACTCTTTTTTACTTTGATAAAAACCAGAGTGCCCCCCCCTGTCTGCATGCATTAATAAGGCCCGTGTTTTTATTTCATGTTGTTCCAGCAGCCTGCAGAGTAAATACAGGCCTGTTGGTACCAGGCTGTGAGATTAGACCACTGACTCATATGAGCCTTCCCAGCTATGAGAGCGCGTTCGAGTGGATATCAGTTATGTTTATGATTAAGACGTCCCTCACAGGGAGATTCTGAGGACAGCCTATGACCATACGTCTCTCTCTCTCACACACAGACACACACAGAAAACCTTCCCTGCTGTTATATTCACAGAGAATTTATTACGTTGGTCCATCGATGGCGAACACTGAAGCAATGGCATGTGAAGAATGTTATATTTAGAAATCAGAACAAGAAAAACTTTAGCGAGCACACAGCCAGGAGACATACCTACTAAAAATGGTTCTTGTATTAACCTCAGAGGAAGCTTATTGCCGCTAGTTTTTAAATGCATCTGTAAAAGAGCTGCACAGGTAGCTCTCTGTGGTGAAGGCTTTTCTCCTGAAGTGGAATATTTACATTAACATCCGTTTTTTTTCCTGTACTTATCCGACTTACAATAATTGCAGTAAATGATCAAGTACAAAATGGGCACAATGGCTACATTTTTAAGAAACTGGGCAATATTTTTATTTCTGGAATGTGGGTGGAGTGAGGGAGTAAAGGATGGGATTAAAGGTTAAGTCTGGGTGTGGCTGAAGGTGAAATACTTGTTGGTGGAGGAGCAGACTCACATGTGTCTATGTGTACATGCAGAAAATTGCATACTTGGTATGTAAAAACATGCCAAATAGAGTATTGATATTGGACAATTTATAATCTTAGAATTCAGATGTTTTCAGTCCCATTGCCACAGCTGTATAAAATCAAACACCTGGCCACGCAGTCAGCCAAACAACTGTAAACTCTAAAGAGCTCACTGAATTCAAGTGTGGTACTGAAATAGGAAGTGAGCGTAGCAGCAAGTCGGTTTATGAAGTTCCTTCCCCCTAAATATTATAAGTATTACTGCAAAGTGAAGCGTTTAGCGACCACGGGAACAGCAGTCAGCGTTACAGGGTGCGGTCACCGAGCGCTGAGGTGCTCACACCTCCTCTGGCATTGACATCAGTACAAACACTGCGCACCAGGAGCTTCATGGCAGCAGCCACAGTAAAGTGTAGGTGGCCCAGTGTTTTTAACCATATAGTTGAAGACAAGGTCTCTAAACTCAGAATGTGCTCATGCTTTATCACGACATGTTGGCAGCACGTTTCTCATTTTCCATCTTCACCACTATAACCAAGATGATCATGGAAGAGCTTGATTTTTTCCCCAGCTGTTAAGTTTCTTATTTTCTGTCTTTGCTTGGAACATAAGAGCATGTTTCAACCAATATTCACTTAGACTGAACTGAGTCAGGAGAAGCTACAGAACATTATTACTGACACACATAAATAACAGGGGGGGGGGAAGCTTTTTTTCTCTTGGTACTTTTGTCAAATTGATTATAGGTGTGACCACAGTCACCATGGATATCACAAATACAAAACTTCCAAGTCAAACTACAGTGTGCTGAGACCTGTCAGGGTCCCACAAGGAACTACTGGGTAAAAAAGTCACTGCACCGGTCATGTTTTGGACGTCACACTGGACAGCTCATCTAATCTAAAGTGAAAAGTCCCAGAACAGTTTCTGACTATCTAACTGTTGGCTCTTTATGAACCCTGTCACACTTGCAGCGAGTCTTGAGCACTGTTGCTAAAAAGTCCTTTAATTAAATGCTGGAAAGCCCACTAGGACAGCAATGAAAGAAGGTAAACTGCCCATCATGACAAGAAAACAGGCTTATAGCTGCAGTTCGTCTCAGCGGCTTGCTGAGTGGAAATATTTCTAGTGTTCCAGTCATTCATCTACTACAGCAAATCACTGCTTTTGGAAAATGGCTTAATGTGATTTAACCTTATGCGAAGCAGTCTGCTGTCAGTGAAGACATTTCCTTTATTTTCTTCATTTTCGTTTTCATTGGATGGAAACAAACAGTTTTAACTTAAATGTAAGCGCTGTATCAACACGAGCTGATTCATATCGTAAAGATTAATGTGGATCACTCTGCAAGTCATTATAAAAGCACAAAGCCCTGCGCTGTTTGAATCAAAAACTCCCGGTAATGTTGCAAAATGATGTCAGAACAGTCGCAAGTTTAGAACCAGAGGATCTTACGAAAGACTCAGTGTGGAAGAAGCTCAGCCTTTTCGCGTCTTGCCACAATGTAACTGCGCTTGATGACGAATTCTGCTTGGACGTCATCTGTCCTTCAGAGGAAACACCAGAGTGTCTCACAGCAATTAAAACCCCAGAAAGGTAGACAGTAAATCACTGACAATTATCCTCACAGAATAAACATAAAGGACTTTCTTTATTTTAAACAATCAGTAAATCGGCCCATGCTTTCCTTCTGAACGTCCTAACACCGTTACTTGATATCGTTCAGTTGCATTAAAAGGGGACTAATCACGACAATACATACACTGAGGATTTTCACATCACTTGGGGAAAACTTAAATACTCTGATGGGTGCACAAAAACCGAAACAACCAAGAAGCTGCTAAAGGAAGCAGAACAAAAGCAAAGAAGGAAACTGCAATGGCAGGCAGACCTGTCCTGAAGGTGAACATCCTGTTAAGAACTGCATCCTGCTACCTTTCACTGAATTTAGTGCAACACAAAAACAATCAACAATGGTTTCTGAAGTATTTCCAGATTTAATTGCTGCTGATCGTTTGGTGTAAAAATAGATTTGATGATTTTGGTGGGTGCGCAGTGCAGTGCGTGAGGCATGTGAGTGTTACCTGTTGTAAGGGTTCCTCAGAAGCAGAGCCTGGCTGCTCGCACAGCTATCTGAAGGTGTGTGACACCCATAGACAGGAGGAGGTACAGGATACTGCTGCTCACCTATAATGCCCACACAGACACACAATACAGCATATAATGTGGGTAGTTATACATTAAAAAAAATGTGGCTTTTGCAACAACAAAAAAGACATAATGTGAAGGTTACATTCCTCAGCAGTGTTTCTTTTGTGGTCTCTCTTTTCCCTCAGATTTCTTCAAAAGTTAAGATCTTTCTCTCTCCGTCAACGGCTCCCTTGACATTTCTGAAAAATCCCCCTCTCTACTCTAATTCCCGGCGTAATCTTTGCTGTAAAAATCATCGAAAATTTACAGCTCCGGGTCCACAAAACACCCCTATTTAAATATTTACAAATACCACACAGAGGGGAGGGATTAAAGACAGAAGTGGGTGGATGAAAGGGGTTTGTCAGTCAGGATGTGGCTGATTTATACCTCCGACATGCAAGGTCAGGGCCGAGGGACCAGAATAGGGGGACAAGACACTCCCTAGGTGAGGGCCTTTGGGCTGCCATACACACAGCTGTGCACTCACACAGAATTAAAACGCACTGAAATGTCTATTTTTGTTCCAACTGGCAGAGACTCTGATGCATTGTTGTTTTGAGAAAGATGAAAAAAATAATGCATTTTTGGATCTGCACAAATGTTATCTGAGCAGTAGAGAAAGATACGTGAAGCATCACATTTAAATGAATGAACTATAGCGTGAGTTGAGTTGTCCTACAAAGGCAAAAGACCTGCAGCAACTATGTAACTATGTGTTTTGGTATAAGCTTGCAACAAAACTATTTGTAAAAATTATAATTGTGTATTAATTTAAAAAAAAAAAAACAGCAAGTGTAACAACTATGAGTCATTCAATTTTCCCTTGCAATTCCCTGCAAATGGAGATATATATGTGTGTGTATATATACATAAGTCTGTTTATTTCAGAAGACTAAAAGACACCAAAACAAACAAAAAAAATGTTTTACCATTTGAGCACATATATTAATATGGGGGGGGCGGGGGTTAGAAAACCTAAAAGGTTTTTAAATATTTTAACTATAAATAGAATAAAATTAACTTACTTAAGCAAAACAAAAAATGTTGATAAATGAATCTCAGGAAGAAAACTGTTTACATGCTGAGACATTTATCAGGAGAGACTGAATTCACAGGGCGCATCGGCACGCCGAAAGCCACACTCGCACGTACCCATCGTGTTCTGCTGAGTTAAAGCGTCCTCGTGTTTGAAGGAGTGGTTGGAGAACTGCGAGCTGTGGTGTGTAGGAGTGTGACCGTAATTACCGGCTCCGTCGAATGCAACTGCGCTGTAACCTGCGACACAGAAAGAAAAATAAATACATAAAAACAGGCGGAAATCCATAACAGTGAAACACGATGACATGAAACTAAACACAACAGCATAGCTGCATTTGTGAATCTGGTAATAAAGGTAAAGTAAAGAACAAACAACTTATAATAAACTCATAAGAATATCACAACAAGGCCTTCATTACTGATTAAACACAAGAATTTTCTATATTTAAAAAATTATTTTTCTTGTTATTGCGATGAAGAAATAAGATTAATAAAACAATCCTCATAAATGACCATTTCAGCATATATCCTGCTACAAGCAAAATGAATATAGACTAAAAAAATCACTGAACGAAACGATGGTCATACATGATGCTCATTTTCATGAACATCAACGCTGATGCTTTTATTATTGACAGTCTTGCAGCACAGATCACTAAAAGAGGAAAAGATCAGGGTAACGTTTATGATGAAGACCATCAAAGTCAGCCAAAGTCATGAAATGTGAAGCACCGGGCAGAGATGTTCACGCATCAGTGTGAGGCGAGAGAAAAGTTTGCTTTGCACACATACGTTAAAAAGCAGTACAGACTCATTGCAATCATCCTACTTTGAGATTTTGAGAATCAGTAATATAATTATGTCAATTATTATTTACTTATTTTTTCCACTTTTTAGGACGTTGCAGGCCAGACTATGATCTAGAGGACCAGCTCGGGCACTTGGGTTGTATTTATGTATTTTCTCTGCTTTAAAAGATGAAAATAAATCACTCAAGTTATGATAAAACCAGTGAAAAAAGGAGGTGAAGAAGATTTATGGGTTTTTTCTTTGTTTCTACACATAAAACAAGAGACATGTTAAATGTTACACCTTAAGCTTTTATAAAGTTACAGAAAATTTGAATTAGCCTCATTTATGACTTTATTCTGCATTCGATTCTTTACTCTAAGCAGCCTTAATCTTATTTTCACCCACTGGCATAATATCCACACAGTTAAACTGCGAGTTCAGCTTTGAATAAATTTAGTTTTATTAAAAAAAAAACAAAGAAACACTCAAACACACCCACTTCTGTTGAGAGAGATCCGTGCCCGACACCCCAGACTAGACCTGACTCATGACTTAGACTGGCCTAAAGGGCACGACACACTCCCATAAATCACCCATGCACGCACGCACACACACATTATCTCTCACATGCACGCCTCATTAATTAAAATACAGCACTTTCACCGACTTTACCCTGTAAATCGCTGCTTGAGAGGAGAGGCGGAGGGGGACGAGAAAAAAACTCATTAAACATCTCCATTCGTCTTCTTCCCTGTCTGAGTTTTCTCTCTCTGCATATGTTTGAGCGTGTGTGTGTTCATCCATGTATTGGGACATTTTTGTTGCCTCCTTGAAGTCTAGCACTGAGGTGAGAAGAGATGAGGTCAGCTGGAAAACTCTGGAAATACCCCATATTATCTTCTTCTTTTTTAATACTCAGAGTTGTAAATAAATCTTCAAATGGACGATTGTGGAAATCAGCTTTACATATTAGGTGATCGTCAGTATGTATTTATGTGTTAGCTAAACGTTAAATATATGGCAATAAGTACAGTAAAAGTTGTGCTGTAAAGTTGAAGTGTTTTGCTAAAATTTCTTTTACTTTTTGTTTGTTTTGTCGTTCAAATCACACAAAAACGTCAGAACGTGACAGAAAAACAGAAAAGCGGTGTGTGTGAGTGTGTGTGATGGTCCCTGTGTGACCCCACTGTGCTATCACGCTCTACTGTGTGACCCGAGTCCTGCTGTTGGTTTGTTTGTCTGTGCTCGTCCAGCCACAGCGGGGAGCAGATAAAAACGGGTTAGAGGTCGGCTTGGCGCTTTGATTGCTGTGTTATTCCTAAACGATCTGCTTGATAAGCATGTTATTACTAATTAATCAGTTGGGTAATCACTAACAGATGAATCTTTCTGCCTGAAATGAACATTTACAAAAACAAAAGTTTAGGGTGTGATACTCAGAAAGTATGAATCCCACTGTTGACTTTGGAAACGCTTGAGCTCATTGTTAATTACTGAACTCTAGTCTGGTTAAAATGACGGATTTTACTGGTTAAATGAGATGATGCACAAAGCGTGGTTCAGGTGAACATAATTCGCAGAAAAATTCACAGAAAAAAATGAAACTTTATATAATTTACATGCGAACATGAAAATAATAATGGAAAATGTTTAAAGATGTTCTTAAAGAAGAAAAGTGTTTTTGTTCTCAGAATAAAACACAAATTGAAATTAAATCTAAACAACCACGACTAAGCTGAGATGTGAAAAACCCTCGACTCCAATGGCAGAAATTACGAATTCGAATTTAATTATAAGTGGATCATGCTGATGCACGTTGCTGCAGTCATGCATTTATTACATATTAAGCAGATGTTTAAAGAATTATAAATTGCAATTGCCAAATCTTTGACATTTATTAGAGCAAAATACTGTTGTGCTTGACAATCAGATTTTGTAAACAAATTAAAATGTTTCCGACAAAATTTTATTTACCTTAAAAAGTATGAAACGGTAATTTTATATAAAATTTTCATATGAAGCACTGCACCTGGAATTATGATATTTTTAGAGCTATATTATGAGTAACACAGGACATATTATTTTATATAAAAAGTAAACCTTCCAAAAATTAATTTATAAGGGCGTCAGACACAAAAGAAAAGAATAATCATAATTACTGTAACCCTATTTTAAAAAAATTCAGCGATTAAAAGCAAGATCAGCAAAAGATCCAAAGAAGTTCATGGATGTGATGTTTTAATGGGCCGTTTGCACAGGACACACATCTGTGTCTTAAACGTTAATGCCTACAGCTCGAATGCTTTTAACGCCACCTTTTCAGAAACAAACAGGAGTCTTGTGTAAGAGTACTAGCTGGATCGCCTTTCTACAACTTGTGTGCGCTTTTAGGAAGATGTCAGTGTTTGTATTGTGCTTGGTCGTATCAGGCCGAGCCAAGATCTCGAGCCAGAGAAGGAACACGTCAGCTGGTTTAAACCACATGAAATCATTTTTGGTGATGTACTAATGACCGACAGATTTGTCAGTGAACTTCAGATGCATATACGGGGGGTAAAATTTGCAAAAAAAAAAGTTATAGAAAAGTGACCTTCACCTTCTGATGCAGAAAGCAGAAAAGATTTATGTCGAATTGAATGATAAAAAAAAATGATACCAAGACTTCAAGCTGCATCTGTCAAAAGTTCTTGTGAAAGAAGAATTGACTGTTAAATTGGTGATGTTCTAACACCCAGACTCATACCCTACCTGTCTGGTTGCGGGCCGCCTGCTGCGTGTCCATGCAGTTGGTCAGGTATGGCGGATTGCTGAACATCCTGCTGGGGGGCTGGTGGTGGTGCGGGGC